TGGAACGCAGGAGGGAGAGATATATCATAATCTACACTTGGAAAATTTTGGAAGGAATGGTCCCAAATCTGCACACAGAAATCACTCCCTACGAAAGTAAAAGACTGGGCAGGCGATGCAAAATGCCCCCAATAAAAAGTAGGGGCGCCATTGGTACACTAAGGGAAAACACCATAAGTGTCCGGGGCCCAAAACTGTTTAACAGCCTCCCATCAAGCATTAGGGGAATTGCCAATAAACCCCTGGCTGCCTTCAAGAGAGAGCTGGACAGATACCTAAAGTCAGTGCCGGATCAGCCGGGCTGTGGCTCGTACGTTGGACTGCGTGCGGCCAGCAGTAACAGCCTAGTTGATCAGGCCCTGATCCATCGGGAGGCCTGGTCATGGACCGGGCCGCGGGGGAGTTGATCCCCGGAATAACCTCCAGGTAACCACCAATCAGGTGACGTAACTAGGTGCCTCCTTCCTTACTTATAGTAAGTAAGTAAGTAAATTTATTCAGGTATACACAAATACAGTTACATAGAATTATCATACATTGCAGCATATGTGTAGAGAACCTAGGATAACCCAAAAAAGTCAGACGGAGTGACTTATTTCCATTGGTGTCCTTAAACATTAAGATTCTACACCCACCTGCAAAAAAAAAAAAAGTGTAGTGCGGTGTTCGGTGCTAGACCCTGGGACGTCAGGAAAGTTTGCAACAGACACGAAAACAAAAAATAATACAAGTCTGCTGATATATAGGATGGCAGGAACTGTAGACTAAGCTGAACAAAACTCTCATACAACCAATATAATAAAGATTGACTGCTCAACAGGTATGTTTTTACCAGAAGTTGTTGATACATATGTGGAAGATCCTCATCCATCAGCGCACCGACACACTTCATCACGATGAGGATAATTATGATGAAGTTGACGATTATGACCTATTACAATAATGACTTTCTAAATTAAATAGACGTACGCTATAACAAAAAACGAGATCGTTCTCACCATCGCTCTCAGAGAGGGAGATGGTGAAGGTAGTACCAACATCACCTTCACTACTTGCCATTACCTTAACACTGCTCGCGAATGCGTCTCCTTTAGCCCTATTTAAAAGTTTTCATTTAGGTTACCACACTGTAGCTATTTGAACCACCCATTGCGAAACTTCTCTATAACTGAATGACCACATTCTATTTCAACAGCTATGAAAATAATTGTTTGTCGTTACAAGAAGGGATTTAAGATCGTGGTGTCCGTCTAGCTACAAGAGCAGAGCTATGCTGTGGTATGTCATCTTTAGTATTTGTACGACCGTGTTGTCACATCTTCAGTGTTTAATCTTTCAAAACTTCCAGCGCGCACGAATGCATGTGTATTCACCTCGATGAGTGTGCAATGGTCGAGTCATAGCTCCAGGCTTCGCCTCGTGACTACAAACGACCAGCTTTACGGCGTCTTGGCCGCCAGTGACCTATACCTGGAGGTTACCTGGAGGTTATTCCGGGGATCAACGCCCCCGCGGCCCGGTCCACGACCAGGCCTCCCGATGGATCAGGGCCTGATCAACTAGGCTGTTACTGCTGGCCGCACGCAGTCCGACGTACGAGCCACAGCCCGGCTGATCCGGCACTGACTTTAGGTATCTGTCCAGCTCTCTCTTGAAGGCAGCCAGGGGTTTATTGGCAATTCCCCTAATGCTTGATGGGAGGCTGTTGAACAGTTTTGGGCCCCGGACACTTATGGTGTTTTCTCTTAGTGTACCAATGGCGCCCCTACACCACTATTACATACACCACTATCACCACTATTATTAAACCAGTATGGTTTAACTGTTTACCTAGTAAACATACGGAATCACAACATTCACACCACACACAGCAACACGGGTTTAGAGTAGCACACTTCCTACTCTCCCAACTAGCCTATAAATTGAAAATGATAACGTTCTGGACCTCTCAAGGGGGGCTTCTTTGATGACAGCGAGGAGTTCCAGACCCTTCGGGGGTTCCTTGATGACAGCGAGGGGTTCCAGAACCTTCAGGGGGGGTTCCTTGATGACAGCGAGGAGTTCCAGACCCTTCAAGGGGGGGGGGGTTCCTTGATGACAGCGAGGGGTTCCAGAACCTTCAGGGGGGGTCCTTGATGACAGCGAGGAGTTCCAGACCCTTCAGGGGGGGTTCCTTGATGACAGTGAGGAATTCTGAACCCCTCAAGGAGGGGGTTCATTGATGATAGTGAGGAGTTCTGAACCCCTCAAGGGGGGGTTCCTTGATGACAGTGAGGAGTTCTGGACCTCTCAAGGAGGGGGTTCCTCGAAGATAATGGGAGGTTCTTCATTTAAGGAACTGGATCTGTACTTCAGTTACTTGAATCCAGCCTGAATGTCCTCCACTCTCCCAGGCACTATATTACTCCAATGGGTTTAGTGCTCCCCCATGAATGTAATAAAAAAAAACCTTCCGGTCCGTTCTGGACCATCATCATCTTGAGAGTGAGAAAGGAAGGGGGTTGAGCTCTAACATTCACTTCCTACACTATTTCTACCGCCTTTCTAGACGTTTCCACGAGCGTGCCGAGGACACGGCGGTGACCTGACAATAGTCCAGGACATAAACATCGTCCAGCTTCCACGTCTAATTTCTGGGTTAGTTGTGAATGTGCCGGGGAGAGAGACAAGCAGGCTGGTAGACTGCTAGCAACCATCCAGAGAGGTGCTACTGCCCTCTCCCACCAACCTGACGCGGAAGCCTGATATATGCTTATCATTCTGACGGGGTTACTGATGTGTTCTGTATCACAGTTAAACATACAAGCTTCTGTTTACATTCATCATCCATTTAACTATTGTTTACTTATGTTCCTTAACAATGTTTATATTATAATACTCCCTCTTTCAGCTTAGATTTGGTCTAAGAATGGGCTGCAAGGGCCATGATCCCCCGGAGCCAATAACATATAAGAGTGCCAGATCCGGAGGGTGTCAAGTCACACCAGGATGCCAGCAGGTCACACCAGCGTGTCAGAAGTCAGTATATGAAGCAGGTAGTCATGTGTCGTTCCCGTGATCTTATTTAATCATCTCTTCGTAACAGTCAGCACCCCTAACACCATCTACAGTAGCAGTCAAGTACTCTAACACCATCCACACTTTCCCACAGTAGCAGTCAGGTCCTCCAGCACCACCCACATCTTCCCACAGTAGCAGTCAGGCCGTGTCTATAGGCAAAAAAGGAAGTGTTCATACGTAGTAGACAGAAAAGGGAAACAGTGAGGATAGAAACGAAAGGGAAGAAGGATAAAAGGAGAGGACGAGAGAGGAAGAGGAGGAGGAATGGGAAGAGAGAGGATGACAAGGAATGGATAGGCGGAGAGAAAGCAGTGGATGATCGTCATGGCAGGGCAGTACAGGATAGTTTCAAGTAACAAGGACGAGCCTGATGACTGAATGTAGGCATACTCGGCTCATCTCCATGCTGGCCAATCGCAGGGTATGTACCCGATGTGTGAATCGCAGTGTACATTCAGTTATGCATGCTTTCTTAACTTGCTATCAATACCAATGTCTACCTGGAAGGTATTCCGGGGACCAACGCCCCCGCGGCCCGGTCCACGACCGAGCCTCCAATAAAAAAAATAATTCCAAGTCGCAGTCCAAGCCACATTCGTAACTTATGCCAAGTTACTGGCTGTAAGTCGCAACAAATTTTGAGGAATAGGAAAATATCCCCAATCATTTAGACTGAAGGATGCGTTGCTAAGTTTTGATCTAGGTTGCTAAAACTCAGCCACCCAGGTATGACCCAGCGTCGGGGACATCACTGGGCAAGACTCGAGGGGAAAAATAAAAGGAAATATATTAATGCTGTGCAAGAGGTTAGCTAAGGATATAGTAAAGACATTTTGCTACACAAGGCAGCTACGGAGACGTAAGTGAAAATATTGGAGACGCTGACATCCACAGAAGACACAGTGAACCTCAAGATGATATACTTAATCTTCCAGTAGGCCAATGACAATATGATTCTCACTGAGGTCAAATTTCATCTACTACGTCACGGAAAAATGGAGAACAAGACAAACTCAAACCACTCAATGAACACATTCAAGGAGCACAATTATATTATCGCAACTGAAAGAAAGGTGAAAGGCTGGATAACTAGAACATTCAAAACAAGAGATGCCAGGCCAATGATGATACACTTCATGTCACTCGTTCTCTCTAGGCTCGAATACTGTTGTGTAATAGCGGCCTCCTTCAAGGCAGGCTGAGCTGGAAAATCTACAAAGAACTTTCACAGTTCGTATAAACTCAAGCAAACACCTAAATTACTTGGAGAATTTGAAGTACCTAGGACTGTACTCCTTAGAACGTAGGCGAAAAAATGCATCATAATCTACACCTGGAAGATACTGGAGGGATTGGTTTCAAACTTGTACACCGAAATTACTGCTTATGAATACCAGAGACTTGGCAGACGGTGCAGGATACTTCCGATGAAAAGCAGGGGAGCGATGAGTATACTGAGAAAAAGAACTCAATAAGTGTTTAGGGACCACGACTCTTCAATACCCTCCCTTCGTGCATAAGGGGGATTACCAGCAACTCTCTAGCTGTCTTTAAGAGGGAACTCGATAAAGTCCTCAAAAATAGTTCCTGATTAGCCGGGCTGTGGTTGCATACGTTGAACTGCAGGCGGCGGGCACGAACAGCATAACTAGTCAGGGCGACAACCAGGAGGCCTGGTCTGGGAGCGGGCCGCGGGGGTAGAGACCTCCTGAAGTTTCTCCAGGTGAGCCAGGTAGAGGAGGCACCACTCCATATGTTGTTTCAATAACAGAAGTTATAAACGAAACTCAGAGGGGTTAAAACACAACTACAAGTCACGTGAAGGCTAAGAAGTGGGATTCAGAATCTGGAACTTAACTTCAGCACTACAAACAGATAAGTACACGTATACAAACATATTCACACAAACATACGCACAAATACACACGTATACACCCTACCTTAGTAGTAGCAGCGGTGTTGGTGGTGGAATATTTGGTGGTAGTGGGTGTCAGTGACACGACCTGAAATACAGAGCAAAGTGCTTAACTTGCCTTACACAACACAGTGTACAAGGACCTAAACTAAACCTAAATAGGTTAATACAACGAGCAAGGATGCTCTGAAATAAGCACAAAATACAGCAAAAGTATGCAGTTATTTCAATCACAGTGTGAAAACATGCACGTGCTTGCGTATGCATACGGACGCATTATTGCGGAACAACTATCTGGAGGAGGAGGAATATTTACGAGAAAAAACCAACACAAACTGAGGGACTAGAAAAACTGTCTCACTCTCTGGCTCACCTCCTGGAGTTTTACAACAATTACCTACTGAGATGAAACAGGTACGGCAGGGCTGGGTGAACTGCATTTTCTTGGGTTGGAAGAGAGCTTTCAACATGGCACGCCACTAGTTTAACCCACAAACCAGGAAAAAACAAGCGGGAATAAAATGAAAAAAGTACGAATGTTGATTAGCGAGTATTTAGACAGGAGATAAACATCGAGGGAAGCAGTACCGTAGAGTGGGAGTACGTAACGAGTGGGGTCCTTCAAGGACTGGCATTTACATAAAGCTAAGGGGTAGTCAGACAAGTCACTACTGGAGTTCAATCACAACAAATGCAAAATCATGAAAAATGTTTTTTAGACAGACCTGTGGGAACACAGTACATTCTGGGTGGAAATGACCGTGAAATTAACATATAAAGAAAAGCTGTGAATCAGCATTACACTAAATGCATCACCAGAGGTATACACAAACATCTCGGACCAACACGATTATATTTTTACCCCTGATGGGTTTCTAGAGTTTTCCTACTCCCACAGCCCGGCCTGAACCAGGCTTGTCTGGTGCCTGTTCGACCATGCTGCTGCTGCTGGCAGCACAGTACTTGGCCGAGGTACTAGTCAAGGTGACATCTGAAAAGATCCTTCATAGCGTATCTCAAGAGCTAAAAGGAATTAACTACGAGGAGACAAACTTACGAAAGATTTTAAGACACTTTTTACTGTGTAAGCTCGTCTTCAGCACTGATAGACTTTATTGCTGACTGCCTGGTCAATCAGGTTGTTGCTGCTAGTGGCTCACAGGCTTATATAGCCATCATAACCTGGCTAATTCGTCTTTTCCTGTAAACACTGATCCGGTTTCCTCTTGAAAACTTTTATCTCGTCCCAGCAATATTTCTAATATTTGCTGGTAGAAGGTGAAGAATTTAGGAACACAGATGTTGACACAAGAATGATCTAATTGCGTCTAAAATGCACCTGCTTTTCGATTCACAATCGCAAGGTCTTCGGTTCGATTCCCTAACGTGAAGTAACATTAGAGCAAGTTACCTTACTTCTCTGCTGCCCCCTCCCACCTAGCAGTGAAAATAGGTACCTGTGTGTTAGCCCACTGTTCTGCGTATCATCCAAGGGTAAAATGTGTTAGAAAACTCCAGTTCTGTGTGTAAGAAACTCCAGTACTGCTGGAATGTTATATACCGCGTAAGAAAACGCTCCGGTCCTGTGTGTGAGAAACTCCAGTACCTGCTGGAAGTATTCAAGTGTCGGGTAAGAGGTATCCATATACTGGTTGGGTGAGGACCTGCCTAACATGGACCCGTAGACCTACTGCAGTGCTGTTTTTAATCTTTTTGTACTCCTAGTGTACAACAGGTCGAGTTTACATGTCCTTGTATTATAAATAATTTACATTACTGCGACTGTTGAACCCTGTTGTGCAGGCGAAACGTTTCGACAATAAAGGTAGGTACAGATGAAGTGTACATCATGTGTACTGTAGATACTACTAACCTTGGGCGTGTCGTGAAGGGATGTGGACGAGGATGACCTTGAGCTCAACGGGTCCTGACACAGACTGGAGCATGACATTGATGAGTTAAGGCTGACACTGTCCCCCCGCCCTACCACCCTTCCCGTTCCTCCGGAGGATGACCCGGAGGACGAGGAGGCCAAGGAGGAGGTGTAGGCATGGCTGGAGGCAGAGGAGGTCCGGGTGGAGGGCGTTGGAGGGAGAGGAGAGGGTGGTCGAGTCGTCAGTAGCGCAGCCATCACCGGCGCGGCGCACTCCGCTCAGCGCAGAGGCGCTGCGGTACGGCGACACCTGCACGTACTTCAACATCTGTTGGGGGAAAGACAAGTGATTTAAACATCTGTAGGGGAAGATACATGTCTTCTGTTTAAACATCTGTTGAATAAGCTTGGTTAAACATCTGTTGTGGCTAGAGGCATGAGAGTTTACACATGTTTGGGAAAACGTCTTGTAAAATCTGCTGAAGCTACGTCTGTTTATACATCTGTTGCAGACACGTCCGATTATACATCTGCTGAAGACACGTCCATTTATACATTTGTTGAAGATATATCTGTTTAAGCTACTGGGGTCAATAAAAAAATGGCAATGCCGTGGATGGAACAATTCACAACCTAATGAACAACTCTCAACTCACTGGACACAACTCCCAACTAAATCCGCTACACTACATCACTGGGAACCCAGTACATAATATTCCTCACCAGGGCTTCATTCCTGTACATACTTCCCGTTCCTTCTATACTGCCAAATGTTCCAGTCCTCCGAACACCCGTGACTTGACGTGACCTTGACCGTAACTTGACGTGACCTTGACCGTAACTTGACCTGACCTTGACTGACCTCGCCTTCCACCGACTTTACTTCCTCATTTTCAATATTATTATTCATGAGGGACCGAAATGTTTTCTATTGTTACCATCTGTTAGTCAGGGTAATACAAGGTAACTTCCAGCAGAGCAAGATTTGATTTAAACCACATTTCTCTCAAGAAGAGCTTTATCAAGTCATGGCGTGATATCTCCCTGGGCGAAACGTTTTAATAAAACACAATACCGTGCACTGGAACAATACACAAATAACCCACAGATAGAATGGTCCAAGTGGGACCGAAACGTCGTAAGTTTCTTGCGCCTATGTGTGGGTTATTTGTGTTTTAGTAACGTATCAAGAACGCTCCTCTTGTTATACTGTGTATATTAACTCATATTACATCAGAATTCGTATATTTCGTTACCCGTTTTCATTCTACCGAATAGTCTTCTGACCTTCACTACTTTTCCTGCCTCAGTTGTGACTTGACAATGGTCCAGGGCGTCCTTAGATTCCTCTCCTGAGTGAGAGTTTCTGGTGAACTGTGTTCTTCCTCACAATGGCAAGACTCGGCTCAGCAAGTTCTATTTCCGGGCAGAGTAGCGCTTACACCTGCCATTACGATAATACTGTCTTCTGTGAGAGTCCTGCGAGGCTGAGGGACTAATTACCTTCTCTCCTATTGGCTATTTGTCATCTCTGCTGATTCGAAACAGACACTGGTTATCGAAATATCTTTAAATAAAGATTTCCAAGCGCTGCATATCTGTCTAAACCCACACCTACCTTCCATTTATATTCATTTAATAAATAAATGTCTGGGAATTAGTGGGCTGTTGTGGGTGGGATCCTGGTAAGGACTCACGTAAAAATAAGCCACGGTGCTTGGCTTTGTTTGGTTATCCTGGGTTAATGACTGAGGATGTCTATTCCACAAGCTTGGGTTTCACCCGTGAAGGCTTGACAGACACACTGAAGCGTGGGAACACCGAAAACAGGAGTGGTAGGGGTGGGTGGGAGGGGACGTGGGGTGGGAAGGGGCGTGAGAAATGGGAAGGGTGTGGAAGTGAGGGGGGAAAGGGGAAGGACTCACTGGGGGTGGAGGTGGGGGAGACCTTTTTTTTACAACAAAACTGGACACATCAGTAGTGTGCTACAATATTCCATGATAATTACGAACTGGATATGAAAGCTACCTACGTTTAAATCGCAGGCTGCCATAGTGAAGAGCTCTGTCCCACAAGGCACAGTACTCGCCCCCATCCTGTTCCTCATCCTCATATCAGACATAGACAGAGATGTAACCTACAGGACCGTATCATCCTTTGCAGATGATACTAGGATCTGCATGAGGCTGTCATCTATTGAGGACACGGTTAACCTCCAAGAAGATATAAATAAAGTTTTCCAGTGAGCAACGGAAAACAATATGATGTTCAATGAGGACAAATTCCAACTACTCCGTTATGGAAAACTGGAGGGGATAATAACTAGAACAATAGAGCGGAAAAATAATGTAAGGGACCTGGGAGTAGTAATGTCTGAGGATCTCACTTTCAAGGATCACAACAGTGCCACGATCACAAGTGCAAAGAAAATGATAGGATGGATAATGAGATAATGATGATCCTTTTAAAATAACTTGTTCTCTCTAGGTTGGAATACTGCTGTACATTAACATCTCCGTTCAAAGCAGGTGAAATTGCAGATCTAGAGAGTGTACAGAGAACCTTTACTGCACGTATAAGTTCTATCAAGCACCTGAACTACTGGGAACGCTTGGAAGCACTTGACTTGTACCCGTTGGAACGCAGGAGAGATGTATCATAATCTACACTTGGAAAATCCTAGAAGGAATGATCCCGAATCTGCACACAGAAATCACTCCCTACGAAAGTAAAAGACTGGGCAGGCGATGCAAAATACCCCCAATTAAAAGTAGGGGCGCCATTGGTACACTAAGAGAAAACACCATAAGTGTCCGGGGCCCAAGACTGTTCAACAGCCTCTCACCAGGCATAAGGGAAATTACCAATAGGCCCCTGGCTGCCTTCAAGAGGGAGCTGGACAGATACCTAAAGTCAGTGCCGGATCAACCGGGCTGTGGTTCGTACGTTGGACTACGTGCGGCCAGCAGTAACAGCCTGGTTGATCAGGCCCTGATCCACCGGGAGGCCTGGTCGTGAACCGGGCTGCGGGGGCGTTGGTCCCCGGAATAACCTCCTGGTAAACTCCAGGTAGGAAGACGTTCCCCTGTCGTATTCCATCTCGCAGGATGAGTTGTATACAGTGCTGGAATGTCTTAGTCTAAGCTGGAAGACTTCAGTAGGACAATGAGGACATCGTCAAGTGTTCCAATAAGGGTGGATCAGCTACGACAGCTTCAAAAGTTTCCTCCCAGCAGAGCTGCAGTCACTATTACGTGGGCATTACCATCTCTCAGGATGGTCTATTCCATACACAAAAGACGGAATTTTTATGAGGATAACCTCCATCATCGCAGAGCGACGCAATAGAACCAGCTTACCTGGAGGTTACCTGGAGGTTATTCCGGGGATCAACCCCCCCGCGGCCCGGGGGCGTTGAATACACCTGAAGAATACTTGAAGTGTGATTTCTGGGGTCAACGTCCTAACGGCCCGGTGGAATCAAGGCCTAGTCAACCAAGTTGTTATAATGATGATAATAATGAAGATAAGCTGGGCAGGACTAAGCTGCATTACAGCCTGGAGTCGCTTCTGGAGGTCACCGCCCCCGCGGCCCGGTCCCAGACAAGGTCTCCTGGAGAAGAAAACGTAAACCATTCACACCATGTAAGCTCACACACATGCACATACACACAAAAAAAAAGTTGGCATACATACTCGTATAGTAAATACGTACACAATTAGACGAGTACACATGTCGTGGAGGGTTTGATAGTGGGTTCCTAGAATGATTTGGAGTCGAATGACACACAACACACACACACACACACACACACGCACGCACGTGTGAAAGCTGCAGGGTCAAGAGCTATGAATCGACCCCTACAACCACAAATAGGTGACAACATGTACACGTGTCCAGGAGGTGTGCAGGTGGTAGGAGTCAGTGGAGGTCTAAAGTGACAATAAAACAGCCTTTGATATACTTTTGATGAGTTTCCAGAGTTCTACTCCTAGAGCCCGGCCTTGGGCCAGGCACGTTTGGTGTTTGCCTGATTAACCAGATTGTTGCTGATGGTAGCTCAATGATCAACATATCCATCACATTGTTAGGTAAAAGGACACAAGTTTAACTAATGTGACATTTTATTGTGGCAACGTTTCGCTCTCCAGGAACTTTGTCAAGCTGTTACAAATAATACTGTAGGTAATTCTACCAGCATTATCACATATCCATCACAGCCTGGTTGATCTGGTACCAGGTGAAGATACCTGGAGGTGAAGCCATTGTCACGCCTCTAGTGTTAAGAGGTGACTAGTTACAAACAGGTGGTGGCAGCTTTTTATTGACAGAACAGGTAGGTTTCCTGGGTGAACATGTCTTGGTCTTGACATGGAGTAAGACCCTTGGGTAAACATCCTCTTAAAAACTATGAATCTGAAGGTGGAATGTGTCAAGTGTTGGTGGGAATGTGTCAAGTGTTGGTGGGAATGTCTCAAGTGTTGGTGGGAATGTCTCAAGTGTTGGTGGGAATGTCTCAAGTGTTGGTGGGAGAGCTGGTGTTGTGTTTGTGGTGGTCAAGATTCAGCTCGTGGCCCTGCCTCCTAGAAAAATTTCTAGTTTCTTTGGCCTTATAATATATACTATTGAAGCTGTGTGTGTGGTGTGTGTGTGTGTGTATTCACCTATGTGTGGTTGCAGAGATCGAGTCACAGCTCCTGGGCCCGCCTCTTCATTGGTGTGTGTGTGAGTGTGTGTGTGTTTCTTTGAGTTTTAACAACAACGGTGTCCTCTGAAGGCCACACTCGGCCACTTTTTGTGCACCACATAAAAACTTGTCTTTCTGCGTATACGTCCTGGTATGCAAGTCATCCCTGGTAGGGAGGGCTATGGTACTAGTGCAGAATTACTGTACCTGGTAATGTTTGTATGGTCACTTTGTTCTCCTTTTCGAAGCTTCTAAACCATCGCCCATTTAAAAGGCGTTGTCTCTCACCCTCAGCATTAAGAGACAAGAAATGGAGAAAAGAAAATGACAGAAAGTAAGGAATGACCTATCGAGAACAATGAAAAATATTTAAAATACCGTGGCTGGAACAAATCACAAATAACCCATACCTCAAAAATTGATTTGTGGATGACGTTTCATACCCTCCTGGATCCTATTATCCATACGTCCTATATACATAATATCAAGTCACAGTGAGAACTAATTACCTTAAGTACTTCTAGGTCGAGAAAACGTAAGCTTCCTCTCTCTCTCATGGAGCTAGCTCTTTGTCCACTCTCATTCCTCCACTCTCTCTCTCTCCTCTCTCTCTCTCTCTCTCTCTCTCTCTCTCTCTCCA